GTTTTATTTCGGTTTCTTTTTTTAATTCCTATTTCGGTGCACCTCTAGTATATATATATATATATATATTTAAATCAGAATTGCCCTTTAAAATGCAGGTTGGGGGGTCCAAGTTTCTGTGAAGACCCTTCCTTCATGTTCACCCCTTTGACACCTCATATGAGAGCTTCTGACAGAGTGTGCGTAATTGATGGCATAATTTGGGTCCCTTCCAACCTAATAAAGAGCCGCTGCAAATTAGCGCAGTGGCTTAAATGAAGAGAAGCAATTAGCGCCGCCAGGAAAGCCATCAAGGAAGTGAGGGGCCGCGTGCGAGCTGCTGCGGAATGGACGGTACGCTAGCAGAGCTCGGTCGGGAGGGGAGGGTGCGCCTGGGGTTTAATGGGAAACAGGGCAACGTCTAAATCATACACCTGACAGGCCACCATTGTCATCCTGCTGACAGATGAGAAAGGATGGGGTGATTCCTTTAACTGAGCGCGGGCCGTTAAGGAGAAGGAAGACAGGCTCTCTTGAAGCGGCCATCAAGCCCTTAGCCAGCGCAGGAAGAATAAGAAGTCTCTATTAATTATTAAATAACGACCCCGGCCGCCCGGTGATAGATAACTTCCAATCTATTCCAGGCATCCAGGCAATTCTAGCTAATCTGCAGCAAAGGCCAAAGCTCTTTGTCAGCCTTATGGGGCCATTTTAAGCCGTCCTCTCCGGAGCCCCCTAATGCTGCGCTCTCCATTGTAGGACGAGGGCCCCGTTCACACCGGCACAGCTTCCATCGGCGGTGCGGTGAGGACCGGGTATCAGCGTTAATAATTAGTGTCTTCATTTGCACATCTGTTTATTGACTGATTTTTTTTCATAGCTTATGGCAAGAAATACAGCGGCGAATACGCCGATTGAGGTCCGGTGCACACCTAGGCGATTTGTCGCGCGGTTTGAGTGGCGCGATATCGCACAAAACACAGATTTGCATTGAAGTCAATGGAGGCTGCTCGCACCTGTGCGGTTTGTCGCGCGACCGAAATCGCCTGTCGCGCGAAAAGGTGCAGGAGCTATTTTCGGGGCAGTTTTCAATGCAAAGAGATGTCTATGGGACCCAAACCGCGCGACAACCGCGTGGTTTTCAATGAACGAGCGACAATCGCGCCAAAACCGCTCAGCATCTGAATCGCCTCGGTGTGAACCTAGCCTAGAAGTTCGCTGGCCACGGAGGCTTTTTCATAAACAAAGTCATCATCGGTTGTCGTAGACGATCTCATTCATACATCTTATATACACTAATTCTAAATTGTGAAATTGAACTGACAGGTCAGTGATGCCCTTCGAGTGGTTTTATCACAGCAGCGGGATTTCCTATCCTGTTATGGTTGGTGCGATTTGCATTGCAATAGTGAAACTTGCTGATATTAGCACATTAGCTGACTAAAGATTCATCTGGCGGCTTGTAGTGGATGTACCGGCGAATACTGGGCACATGGGTGAGATTATTTCAGGGTTCAGTATAGTCTTGGAAGAATACAGGAGGTGTACAGGGGTATACAGGGGGTAAACAGGGAGTATACAGAGGGTACACATGGAGTATACAGGGGGTGCACAGGGTGTATACAGAAGGTATACAGGGGGTATATAGTAAAGTTACATTCTGGTTGATTGCTGTTTGCACGCTTTGTCACTCTTCTTCTGTATAAAGGGTGTATACAGGAGGTATACAGGGGTATACGGGAGGTATACAGGGGGTAAACAGGGAGTATACAGCGGGTATATACAGGGAGTTTACAGGAGGTATACAGGGGTATGGGGGAGGTATATAGGGTGTATACAGTAAAGTTACATTCTGGTTGATTGCTGTGTTTGCACACCTTGTCACTCTTCTTCTGTATACAGGAGGTATACAGGGAGTATACA